AAATGCTGGGATTAGGGATATATGAGTGGGGCTAATTAAGCTACTTTTGCCGAAAGAGCCAATCACCATTCAGGGATATGGACCAATTAAATCCGACGGGAAATTTGAGGCCACGGTCAAGTTGCACGCTGTCATAGCAGTCAGTGTGGTGGCTCACATGCATGCCTCTCTGTTAAAAACGCTTCCACTTTTAACTAAGTCAATATTGCTTTAACGAATTCCTTGATGTTTTAAATTGTGTTTAATTTTATCATTCTCGTTTTAAAGCTATTGGCGGTAAGAAAAGGTTAAGTGAAACACTGCGCTTAAAGTTGCTAGTCTGGCTTGTTCTGGTTTATTAATTAACTGCTTCGGCAAGAAGCCAAGTGTGTATTTCTTATTGAGTTTAGTTAGTTCGTGCTGCTTAAAGAGTGATTAACAGTCGTTCTGGTAAACAGGCATGAACTTGGTTAGTTTCTGTAGGATCAGGCAGCGGATGTTGTCTGTGCACCAATCAAATGTAACATAAAGATCCCGATAACAAACCTATTTTCTTAAAGACACACTGTGGGAAAGTATGGTGAGAAATTGACAAACTCCAGATGCACTTTCACGTCTAATTTGGGCTTAATGATATTGTCCAATAAAGGTGAACTTCCGGAACTGACTGATGGGCAGGCGGCTTAAAAAATTCACTCTACATCTAAATGACGCTATTAATTTCAGATAATATTATACACACTCACCGCAGTACTGATGGCTGAAATAGCTTTTTCGTCTTCTGCTCATTTTCAACTGGTTTGGTACTCTGGTCGGCAGCAACCAATTTCCTACAAAATATACGGCAGTAAGTCAAAAGGTTGTGTACATCTAGAGAACCGTTTTCGCTGAATTTTTTTAATCTGCCACCTATGCAGACTTACAACGATCATCTGAAAACTGGAGCCTTTTCATTTATCTCTTAAGAACTGTTGTTGAGGCAAACAATGCTATTTTAAATGTGTTATATGGCGTTTATGTGTGCAATAAATGGTTAGTCACGCCCGATATATCTGGACATAAGCGCTCAGATGCGATACTATTTAGCACGCAGCAATCGTTATAAGGCCGAATCTTGCATATGCGGTTCCGGCTCGGAGACCCTAGCAATCCAGACACCGCACAGTTACAGCTAACTGAAAAGTGTGCAGAAAATATGCACAACATTTGTAAGATTTCAGTTGTGAATGGATATATCTCTGAATACGTACCTAATAAGCACCTAATTGTGAGATCTTGAAATGGCTATTCCAAAAACTCCATCGCCTGACAAAAGGTAGCGAAACATCAAGCAACAATTCTATGGAGGTCCTAAACAAATTGCAAAGACTTGAAATTGCAGCAGACGAAATAATGGCATCTTTTGATGGCGTCTCTCTCTTCTCGTCGATACCATTGGATTTGGCAAGGCAATATACAGAATACACAATATAGACTTTTCGGTATCTGCCCTGCTTAAACTCTTGGATCTCTGTCTGGAAACAAATTTTCGTTTGCACAACAACTTTATCAATAGATCCGACGGGATCAACCATTTCGGAAGCCACAATGCATACATTAGAAGCAATGGCCCTGCCACTTATTTACCCCAAGTTTTGGATACAATACGTCGATGACACGTTTGTCATTGTTAAAAGGGACCAGCTCGAAACATTAGACAATGTAATTAACTCAACGATGCCGATCATCACTTTCACGCTAGAAAAAGAAGTTGACGGTAAACTCCCATCTTTCAACATCCCCGTACAGAGGAATACTAACGGAACATTCCACATATCAGTTTACCGCAAAACAGCGCACGTGGATATCATCCTACATTACGAGAGCAACCACCCTGTTGCTCATAAACGGAGTCCTTTTACCACCATAATCAATCGAGCAAGAATGCATTGTTCTAGCCCCGAACTATACCAAGCCGAAGTCAACTACCTGTTTAAATTATTTTCAAAAAACGGTTACCCTAGAGAGCTCGTGCGTCGATGCATGAGAGGACAACAGTGAAAACAAAAAGAATAGGAACTAGGTTGTCCCGATCAGGTGACCTACCAAGAAGTTGGCGAACACTTCCATATATTAAGAACGTGTCTGAAATCGTTGAAATACACCTAAGGTAGCATTAAATCCAAATAGCTCATAAACCGACGTATACTCTATGAAATCAGCTTGTACACTCTAAGGATAGGGTTGGCTATTTGGGCCGAAATAAAGTCATTATAAGATCCCTTGTGGCGGCTGCAATGCAATTTATTGCGGACAGACAGGAAGAGCAGTCTCCACACGCTTACGCGAACATCAACGGACGGTAAGGTGCCGATACCCCTTGTCTGAAGTCGCCATCCACGCATTAGAGCCTGGACTCCAATTTGCATGGGACGAAACCTGCGTTGTTGGCTCTTATTCATACAAGAAAGGCTGCCAATTTCTCAAAGCCATGCACTCGGACGCACAATGCATAAACAGACATATCGAGTTGTATTTGTCATACCGAAGCCTCAAGCAGAAGTAGGCGAGACGTGAGCCAATCCGAACGGCATGAAAAACATGGTAACAGGGTACTGGCACAAGCGGCACGCCACAGCATTATCGATTTTCCCACCAACTGTCGATGTGAGCTGTTTTTGGCACATTCACTTTTCTCTACGTCTGAAGACGAACTAGGGCTCCAATTTCGAAAATTCACCTTGTAAACTACCGTTTCCCAAAGAACTTCCTTAACCGAATGTATCTTAATTTTTTTAATAATTATCCTGGGACCTACAGGCGCTTGCAAAAAACTTGTTATTTCTTGTACCTCAAGCTGCGCCCTCCTGTGTACTGATTTCTTTCAATTCGCCATTTTGCGGGCACTATTTAACATGTGTGTGCCCAAAATATAAAAGAAGGGAGAAAAATGCTTATCTCTAACCGTGTCTTGGAACCGTGGAACAACCTGTATGATGGGCTAGTTATGTCATAATCTATGGAAACATTCAAACATTGGCTGGACATCCATGTGCTGCAGAAATAAGCGTTCTCAGAGACGTAGAGAGTATTGCAATCACTTTCGGCATATGAATAATTGTCTGTGTAACTCTCTCCTACTAGCTGGTGGCTGCCTCTTTTCGTGTGAAATGAAATTTAAATTAATTACCTATGCTTTCTTAAAGCACGTTTGAACCAAAATGGAGTTCGAAGGGGTTCGCATATCGTTATGTTAATAGACAGAATCAAAGTTTCGTCTTGCATGTCGTAAGCATAATCAGATACCGTCGCAGATAAACATCCAAATATACCACAGCGGTCCTGGATGAAAGAAAGTAATGAAAGAAAGAAGACGAGATATATTGAACGAAAATTTAAATATTCGAACAGCAACTACATTTGTCAACATACTGCTGAGGATAAGTTTTTTTGCTGATTGACCATCGTGTCACAAAGTTTACAGTAGTTACTTTACGGAATTGATACTTTAACAGTTACCATATTGCAACATACAGATGCTCAAAAATGAAAAGTGAGCGTCCGTCCCACTCACCATGGAGATGGGACAGGTTAAGTGCATTACTGCCAATTATGCGAAATTAAATGCTTCACGTTATGTTAAGAAAACATTTGCATCAAAAAATTAACATTTGGGAAGATAAATTATCATCGTATAGTAGATATTTCTATGCAGCACAGTTAATTACAGTTTAAACGGAGTTCATGATTATAATGTAACGGCGACCATTCGAATTTGGGTGTGACTCAGAAGAAGGAGCTGTTTTGAGTGGTTAATTGAAGTACCTGTATTTGTACCCCTTCAGGTGAGAACGTGGCGGTGTCAACTAAAGGACTGAAGTTAGTGCAAGAGAACCCCCCCCTCCCGAGTGAAATGTATCATTATCAACCCATTTTGCTTTTCTCGTCATTCCCCCAATAATGTTTGTTGCTACATTCTACCCTTTTTCCTCTCTCGTCCCTCCCCTCTGTTCTGATTGTAATAAACATTCACCTTCTTCCCTACTTTTTGCGTTTGGTGAATGTCTGGTGACGAATTGAGCAAGATGACTGAACCTGATTACCCGAAGCGAATCTATAGTTGACGATCAGGAGCCCAATTTGGGACTACAGGAATTCCACCTTACCGAGAGCCCAAAGCAGTCAAGTGGCCAGACTACTACAATAATAATGTCGTTGTTGTGTTCGCATCATCGGCGCTGGCGTGCATGGCAAACTCAGATCTTCCAACCAAGTGCTCAGAAAAACTTCAGTTGCACTTTTACTAAAATCACTGCCTAGAAACTCAAAAAGGGCGAGCACTTACAAACGTCAAATAGATGTTAGATGCCAGGGGAGGTTCAGAGACAAGCAAAATTGACTTACGGTTGCACACTGGAGTCACGAACATTTCTACGGCGTTTCGACGGCTTGACAATTAGTCTACACTCTTTGAGGAAGTGACAGCTCTCCAGAACACTCTCAGCCGCTCCTATGTCAGCGAAACTCACGAATCCGAAGCCCCGGGATTCACCCGTGAACCTATCGTTCATTATCTGGACGTCTGTCACAAGGCCAAAGTTAGAAAAGTAGGCCTTCAGGTCCGATTCAGTGATTCGGGGGGTCAGGTGACCGACATAGATACTTGGATGATTGGAGTCGAGTTCAGTTGCACTGCTGTCTGCCTTTTTAGTTCCAAGACTAGCGGGGATGTCGTCGCCACTGTTGCATTCTGCGACACCGGGAGTAATGCCTCTGTAGACATATAAATATACCGAAACATGCGAGTTAGCTTTAAAGAGCCAAAACACTGCGTCTGACATATTAAGTGCATTTTAAATATATGAAAATCTAAACACATGGTGCACTAGAGATAATTTATATATAGGGATGCCATTATTAAACTCCATTAATCTAAGACTTACCCATTGTCTGAAGATCGTTTGATTATGGCAAGATACACGTTGATTGGTGTCTCGTTCAGCAGGTGTGGGTGGATCTCAAGCACCTCCCTTACGGAGTCCAAGTCACGGAATGTAATAAACGCTCGCCGGCGGGAATCGTGCCACTCCGACACATGGATGTATCTTATTACGCCAAATTTTGAGAAATATTCGTGAAGATGAAAGTCCTTTACTGAATCCGGCAGGAGCCTGATGAAGATTGTTTTCGGATCTACGTCCCACTGCATTTGTATTTGAGATCTTATTTAAAGAATTGGAAACTAAGACATTTAGGCTCTTCGCAGTTTTAGGTTCTTCAGCAGTTTTCAAAATGGCACACTAGTAGCATTTATTGAACGCGCTTCTCAATGAATCAGTAGCTAAAAACAGTATTGGCGAAATAAATAAATTGACATTTTTTGTGCTGTTAAGGCACAAACAACTGTAGTCAAAAATTGGAAATACACTAACTGAAATAACATAACGTCAACTTGATGACATATATTTTTCAGGGTAGGACATAATTCCAAACACAAAACAGTGGTAGATCGGTTGAATTATTGTTTGTAGTGAATGTGATGGTACGAATATGATTTCCGGGTATGAAGCGCGGCAATTGAATGCAATAAAAACTGCTCTGAATTAATTCTCTGGAATGCCCAATATCTGTCAAACACCTGTATTTTCACATTTAATTTGGCTGTCTAGATATACTCGAAACTGGAATTAAAGTAGACTACCATAGCCCTGAAAAAAAAACACTTTTGTATTATCTTCTACTCTAGCGACCGGCACGAGGAGTACCCGGTCATACTGGCCCATGAAACATATGGGAGCGAAGTGCTTGGCACTGGGAAACATTTCCTTTTAGACAGGGATCTACATGGGACCAATTAGCCTTTCTGCACATCTCTCTGAGGTTGGACATTATGTTGAGGTGCGTCACTGTGAGGGCAGAAGCTGCATCCGACGCCTACTGCGAACCCTTATAACTGAACGCCACATTAGCCTGCGAAAGAACAAAACTGAAAATAAAAGGGAGAAAGCAGAGTGTATGCCACATATTTGGAGACGGAAATATTGCGAAACATAGAGAGTTAGATCTCGATCGAGGAAAATGAGGCCCGAGACAAGCAGAAGGTCCAACTCCTGAGCAAAATGGTAGAGATAAAAGAAACACAGACAGACGCATCTGAAACATCAATCGTCCGCAATCTGTCCTGCAAGCAAGTGAGAGACGACCAGTTTAAGATGCTCTAACACGAATCCGGCTACAACAAAGGAGATGTGCATCCGGTGGATGTGATTACCGCATTAGAAGAGACATTCTCAAAAAAGGCTCAACACAAAAGAAACCATTAACCAAAAACCAATAAGTTGCCTCTTTCCTATTGCCAGTTAGTTGTTAACCCAATTGATAAGATGCCCTATTGAAAATTGGAGGGTCATTATGAGTGTAGCGTAATAAATAGAACAGTTGAGATTCGTATCATTAATAAGAGTATAGTGGGGTAGAATAGTGTTTTTCTTATCAGTTGCTGACCTACTCAGTTAAATCCTATCAAACGTCGATGTTCTGCCATAGACAGGGCTTTCTCAAATGTATTTAGGTACTCGGGTAAGGATACGTTATATAAGTTTCGGGATTATATAAAGTATCCTTGTGTTAACTACTGACTTCAGAAAACGACGTGAAGAAAGTTGTTTTATTGTGATTTTTGTTATCGATTGAGCCTAAGGAAGTTGATTCACGGGATACCCACGTTGTGTAACCGATACCTATCTGCGGTTCAGCCTATATGTGCTATATTTCTTAACCAGAAGCTTGTGAAATAGTTATTTCTTTGAGATCGTTTGCGTTTTGACCTCGATGATTGCCTGTCCACCTTCCTTTAAATACATTTATTCGACTGTGCATTTTCTTTTGAAACATTTTTGGTAAGCCTTTTAGGCGTTGTTGCACATGTTAGACAAATCAATTAACTAGATTTCGCTTCTAGCCTAGAGAATTATTATCACTATGTTGACTGTCCCTCCTAATAGCGTCTTCTGTGAAACCGTATATAGTGTAGTCTCAAGTTACGAGCATTTCAGTTTATACGAAACCAATTTGTCAGCGAGCCACATCCCTCACGTATCCTACAAGTGCCACCGAACCATCCTCTCAGCCGAGGTAAAAGCCATTCAAGAACTAGAGAAGGAGGAATAAATTGTCATTGAGCCAGCTGAGGAAGGACGAAAAACTGTGGTTTTGGAAAAGTTGGCGTACGTGGCAAAAGCCTTGAGCTACTGAATGACCGCCAGCGATCTAAGGTCATCGTATCTGACTCTATGTAAACGTTGGTAGGCAAAATCAATACAAACCTGAATCAAATGTGTAACCAAAAGGCAAAATGTGAAAATAAAAGGTTGGAGACAAAAACATCACACGATGCCGCCTCAGCGCGTTCCTTTCGGTTTATCCGAAATCCACGAGCCCAATCTTCGCCTATGACCCACTGTATCAGTGAAAGACACGCCTACCTACGGACTGGCTAAGTGGTTCTCCAACCATTTGAAAAAAAGTGACCAACGGCTTTGAGCACACAGCTGTATCTTCAACATGGTTACTGGGAAACCTCATCAAAATAGCTTCCGACGAGATAAGTTTATCCTTCCACATTGTCACTCTATTCTTATCTCTTCCTCAAGAATTGACGATGACAGCAGCCAGTGAACTACTTCATTAAAGGTACGAAGAAGGGGAAAAATGTTTAAAAAAAGTACGTGACAAAAATATTAGATGAGTGCCCATCCTTCAAGTTCAACGACCGGGTTTATGAGCGAATCCAGGGAGCGACGATAGGATCATCGTTCAACGGCCACCTTGCGCAGGTGGTCCTGCAGGAATTGAAAGTTTCAATCTTACAGTCTTACAAGCCGAAATTCTGGATGCGCGAGGTAGGCGACATCTTTGTAATCCTATACCGAAACGGTAAACATAATCTCGAAAGGCAACTGAACTCGATTTTTTCACCTGATTCAGTTCACGACGAACGAAGAAGAGGACGCAGCGCACCCATTTCTCGATATCCAGGTTCGAGGCAGGATGACCGAGCCCCT